TTGGGGAAAATTGTCAATTTCGCCCGAGATAAGCCGAGTCGAAGAAGTTATCCTAAGGGGTGGATAAGTTTGTTATGAGGGTTTTAATCTCAGAAGGCCCTCGACGCCTATTCCAAAGGACGTAACTGGCCAGTATTTTTCTGTTATTACTCTGGAGTTTTTCTTGAAATATTTTACGATAAAATACCTAGCTGGTTGTGGTGTGATTTCGAATACTGCGATAAGGACTGCGGGGTTTGTGCTCTCCAGGCACTGCAGCCTTCTGTCTTATTGTACCTTCCTAGTTCCTTAGTTCAGTGCAATAGAGAGATTCTTAGACGTATCAGGTCATTGACTGTTGCTGCTACAATTTCATTCTCTAGATTTTATTCGTATGCTAGGTTAAATCTCCATTGAGATTATGTTTGGCATTCGAAGATGGGTGGTTTTTCCTCCTCCTCATAATCTGCTGATGGGATCATCGTTATACATGACCATGTGTAGATATTTTCTCAGATGCCAGCGACCGGTTAGTAGTCCTGGGTTTGCCGGTCTTTGTGAGGGTTGTTTCATCATAAGTTTACTCTGTCTAGCGCCGCTAGATTTTATCTATCACTTTTCCTTTTGTTTTATTTGGATTCATTCTGCGATGGAGGATTCTTTCCTTTGTTATCCCAATAATAGATTCGGGTATATGTATGGTCTTGCGGATCCTCCTCTGGCCTTTGTGTCTGCTTACTCGTTACCCAAAATTCCTATGTGCCTTAGCCAAGATATCATCAGGTTTTTGTGTTTGCCCAGGTTTTGGAGATTTTGGATGCACATATTGATTAATTCTATGTGATGCTTTTATAAGCTAGTTCTTTAATGGCTGCTTGGCTATCAAATCTTGTGAGGATTTGTTGCTCTTTTAAGATTTTTTAAAGTTCCTTCGTTTGTTTTGGAGCCATCCTTATACCAGATCATTGCATCTGATGCTCTCCTGTGCTCTTCCTCTCCTTTAAGTCCATTGAAACTTTATAGGATGTTCTAAAGAATGTTTCCGGGGAATAACTAGATATCAGTAAGGTCCTAGGTCGTTGTAATTACCAAGAGAGTTCAACTATTGCGGAATCGACAGAGTTAAATCTAGCCGAATATCTTCTCAATATTTTTTCTCTTTTTTTATATATTTAAATTTTGTTCGTAAAGTGAAAAGTATTTTCTCACTGCGTTTAAGCGTACGGTGGTCGAGACCGTTTGCCTGGGAGCAGTGCATAAATCCCTCAGTGCTATCCGGGGGTGTAATTTAAGAGTACTCGCCGGGTGAGATTGCAGATTTTATAGCGGCCCTTGCTTTTGGCAACCGACCCGGCACAGCGCTTTCGCATCCCATCTGCGTTTCGATAATGGAAAAAAAACTTGTGCGACTGTTTATTAGCGGCTGATAACTGATAACGTGCTTAGTAATGGTAAGTGAGAAGATTTTTTTTTTTAACGTAGCCAATCAATTTCGGTATTTGGAAGTATGGTAACAGTTCCGTGAAGTTCAGTTGGACCCTTTAGTTTTAGAAAACCTTATCATCGATCGTTGTGACTGCAGAACCTGTATTTTAATCTAATCGACAATTTTCAATAATCCGTTTAAAAATGGCCTAAAATCATCTGAAAAAAAAAATGCGGACTGGTGTAGAAAAGGAGAAAGGAAATAAAAACTATTTAAAAATGTGTGGTGATTAGTGACCGTTAATCGATATTTATTTATTGTAGAAATCGTGAGATGCGGTCTGGTGTGATGTAGGTTTCAGAAAAACATTTTCTTTATTGTGACAACGTTTTGATCTTTATTAAGATCATCTTCGGACCTTGAATTTATAAACATCGTTTAAATTGTACAAATACATGTAGGATATGAAAAAATAGATCTATACAATGCTAGAAAATTTTAGATAAAAAAATGAATTTATACAATGCTAGAAAATTTTAGATTACAAAAACAATGAATTTATACAATGCCAGATTTTTTTTTTTGATTCAATCATAGTATTTGTATTCACGCAAAGTGTTTGTAGGATAAGCCCTTCAAAATCCAACGTATATTAACATAAAACATCAATATATCAGTGGCACTCTCAACGGGACAGACAAGAATGACACATCAACACGGAAAACAAACACTTTGAGTGAGTACAAATACTTCGATTGAATAATAAAAAAAAGTCTAGATTTGTATAAATTCATTTCTTTAAATCTAATTTTATTTAGCATTGTATAAATTCATTTTTTTAATATAAAATTTTCTAGCATTGTATAAATTCATTTTTTTTCTAAAATTGTCTAGATTTGTATAATTTCATTTTTTTAATCTAAAATTGTCTAGATTTGTATATTCATTTTTTTTAATCTAAAATTTTCTAGCATTGTAAAGATTCATTTTTAATCTAAAATTTTTTATCATTGTATAAATTCATTTTTTATCTATAATTGTCTAGATTTGTATAAATTCATTTTTTTAATCTAAAGTTTTTTAGCATTGTAAAAAATTCATTTTTTTCATCTAAAATTGTCTAGATTTGTGTAAATTTATTTTTTTTTATCTAAAGTTTTTTAGCATTGTATAGATTCATTTTTTTAAATCTAAAATTGTCTAGATTTGTATAAATTCATTTTTTTAAATCTAAAACTGTCTAGATTTGTATAAATGCATTTTTTTTATCTAAAATTTTCGAGCGTTGTATAAATTCATTTTTTTATCTAAAATTGTCTAGATTTGTATAAATTCATTTTTTTCACATCCCACAGGTATTTGACAAATGTAAACAATGTTTATAAATCCTAGGCCCTGAAGATGATCTCAAATGCCAACCGAAACGTAGGCACGATAAAGAAAATGTTTTTCTAACCTTACATAACACCAAACCGCATCTCACGATATCTAAATAGTTATATTGTTAATGTTTGTCCGTTCGATTTTATTTTTCATTCCTCTCCATTAAAAACGTCTGTTCAGTATAAAAAGGTTGAAACCAACAATTTTCTGGATTGTTGAGTATCGAATCGACCGAAATGTAGACTTAGTAGATTGGGTGCTGGTCAACTGAATAAAACAATAGCCACTTTTGTCGTGGTTTCGGATATATATTGTCTCCTTCCTCAGGGCCCATAAATAATGGACATAATTATTTAAGGACATTACATTATTTATATAATGCATTACAATATCTCAGCAAGTACTTAATTGGCTAACGGTCACTAAACACCACACATTAGCAATATTAAAAATAATAAGTTGGTTATAGGTACTAGGGGCAACGCCGAAACTAAATTTTCTTAATATTTTTCTTCTTGATGACTTAACCCTAGTCCACATTTTGACTCAAAGTTGCGCGTCATTGTTGCTCAACAATCCTGATCGAAAGGACCGCAACATGTTCCCTTGTATCTGGAGTGTATTGGGGGTCTAGACGGTACAAGATTTTGCGTCCCGTCGAAACGATATTCAGTGCTACAATGTTTCGCCACATTGCAAGTGTAGATGCATGTTCCGGAGCAGAAGTTTGGTTGTGAGTTTAAATTGAATTTCTGAATTTGGCGTTTTCTTTAAACACCTTCGGGCAACCATTTTCAAAAGATTTTCTAAATCTCTATGTGTCATCCTTAATAAGTTGACAAATACCATTCCATCTTCTAGCCTTAACATGGCCGAAAGATCGCGGCATGTATCATTGTTGCTACCAAACAATTTTCGCACTCACCAACTTCTTTGATTACTTTTACTTCTATTTTTAATTAGTAATAACAATATCAGAGAAACAACCACGAGGCCTAACTCCTGAGACATTTTCTAGAGAACTACCTCTGTAGTTTGTAATTTTGTGACTTACCGCAGCTCCCAAATGCGCCCAAATTGTATCGGGGCGGATTTCCGGCAAAAAGGAAAGTTGAGCGCACTACGGTGGTATCAGACATAGTAAACCCATAGTTAAAGAAATCGCACAACTGGCAAACGGATTATCCCAGTATCCCAGTTAACAAGCTAAAAATCATTTGACAAAATCTACACAACATGGATATATTTGATAAACATGGAATGCAACGCAGCAGCTCAATGAAGATATATCTAGGGTATATCTTCATTGAGCTGATTTTTGTCAGTCATAAACTAACGGTAACTATCTACCTATAGGTTTATCACTCCGCAGACCTCAGAAGGAATTTCACAATGACATTGAACTGATTTAAAAAACTAGGAAAAATTCAATATCTCTGTATGTTTCTAAACCTTCTCATCGTAATCATCATCCTATAAACTTGTGTCATCCTTTAGAGAAGCATGTTAATTCAAAGTATAAAAATAGTGCAAAACTGCAAGTTTCCTGAATGCTTTGTTAATGTCTGTTCGAAATCTTAGGTCCATCCTCTCTGAAAGTTCTGGAGTCCAGAAATCGCTGTAAATTTAACTTTCATAGATCTTTTTTCATTCTGAGAGCTCCTACAAACTGCTATCATCCTACTAGAAACCGCCTTGTAAATAACATCTACAAAAAGCCCACCGCCGTCTTATTTCTTTGATAATAAAAACGAAATTAAAATAATAAGAAAATCTTGTTATTCCAGAGAACAGTAAAAATAAAAATTCTTTATGACCCATGGTCGCTATAAGTTTTTATGTCAACAAAATAAAAACGGATGTTGAAGGAAATGATCATCAAAATTTTGTGTGAAAATTATTTAAAAAAATGGCCGTTAAAAAGTAGCTTTTGTTCATTTATTTACAATAAACTCACAAAAACACACACCATTTTTTAACTAACCAAAAGCCATAGAAAAAAGGAAAAAATGCTTGTCACCTGGCGCTACAGTGGAAATGCCAGTCAGACGGATGAACGCCATTTGGCGCACGTAAAAAATGGTGTGCCCAGCTGGATGTATATAATTATATTATGTATAAATATAGTAGTAAAAATATATTTATATGTTTAAAAAAATTGTTCGTTATAACATAAATTTTTAAAAGTTCGTACGTTTTTTCTCTGTTTCAGGTAAGAAGGACTATTTATCGCCGCTACTTTGTTTAAAAACTACTCAAGGTACTTTATACTTTACGTAGAAAATAGTTATTGTTAGTAGTGGGTGAGTTAGATAAAGGTGCTCGATATTTCCGCCATCGACTATCTCATTCAGTCTATACAGATTTTATGTGAGGAAAAAACACCGTTTCTCGGAATCTCTCCTAAGAAACGGAACAGGTGACCCAATATTTAACCCGCCAGAGTTTCATCTTTTACGTCAGGGCTCATGCCTACTCGCTCCCTGTAAAGCCTCGATCCCATGACGAGCGTACTCATAAACTTGTAATGGCGGTCTGTCATATTCCGACCTCTATCCGTTCCAAAGGTACTAAGGTTCGTGGCTTGACGAATCTCTAGCGGCAACTAGAACTGAAGTTAGTTTTGATTTAAACGCTAGTGTTTTATTATGATTTATAGATGTTGAAGAAATGAATTTAGTTAATAATGAATAAACCGGTACAACTGCAACAAATCGTGGGAAGGGGTGCTCAAACCGTACTGAGGCTTGTGATCCGTCGAGCCCCAGGCTTTTGACATTTGGAGGAAAAGCTGAGCCACCTGGAGCAATAACGAGCCTTTAAGTTCCCACAGCGTGAGGTATGACAAACTTCTGACCAAGCCACACGCCGTGGGAACAAGGCTTAGGGGCCCAAGGCATGGCACTCTGTCCAGAGGAAAAACACGGACTAAACTTTGTCTACAATCTCTCTGCGCGAGTTTTGTTCCAAAAGCACGTGTCCGTGTATTAGACGAGTATGGCCGATTATTAATCGGTTAACTTTCCTTTCGTTTCAGACTCTCGGGATGGCATCTTTCTTTATCTTAACTCGCAGGAGCTTCTCGGACGACCTCACTGCCTACACTCTGTCAGCTTTCGGCAAGTTCCTTGTCCTGACTTCGTACCCAGACGACTACCGCCGGTTTTCCGAGGGGGTCCAGCTCAATCTCTCTTAAAAGAACACGACGAGAGGGGTCCATCGAGAATCTTGCCTGATTTCGGGGAGTCGGTATGAGAAAGGCAAAAAATATCACCCCGCGTGGCAGATTGCATAAGGTTACGCCGTGTATACGCTGCAGTGCCACAGGAAACCTAGTTATACACGGCTCACGCGACACCCTTGCCGAAGAAAAGTGAGGGCTGATAAGTAAGAAGAAAAAAAAACTAAACATCTTAAGAAAAAAATATACTATCACTAAATTCAAAAAGTCTCTCTGTCTTGTTTATCAGTCTTCTTAAATTAAAAGAATAAAAAGGTCGAGGCCCACATTTAGATTTATTTAATCTTTTATTTTCGACGTTATTGGCCCAGTAATTCAAAAGGGTCGGCCTTGGGTAAAAGGGTTCTTCTGAAATGATTTTCCCAAGGCGGCCCAACTGGCCCCAACGACGTTAAACTGGTTCAGCAATGGGTTGACCTCAAAAACTTAGTAATGTTTCATATACAAAGATTAAAACTGGTGCCAGCGCTTTTTTAAAGCAAAAGCGAGTTTATATGAGTTTTGCTCTGTTTTGCGTTTTATCGTTTATGCAACGGTCGTGACCTAAAACGCGAAAATAGGACAGATAAATCTAATTTTTATACCAAAAGAGTCGCATTCTCTTGTCCCCTCTCGATTAGTCATGTGAATCAAATGGCAATAATTAATTTTATAAAAAGCATAAGCATATAAATTTTGTTTTTTGAAATATCTCTTATCAGACTTTGTTACAAGCAAGATATCCCTGATGTTGTAACATTTCTAAATTTGTTAGATTTTATTTTTCTTTCCTTTTTATTTTGTTAAACGCTCTAACTTTTCACATAACATAACTTTAACGATACACAGTTTTTTATATTTTATTTCGTAGAATAAATATTATTTTATTTAAATAGATATCGGTCGTTTTTTGAACGAATATTTTTCTTATGGATTTTAATTTTCTTACGCTTTTCTTTCCAGAAGAGTTTGTGCCATCTGTTGAGATATCAATCATCAAAAGATTTTAATTATATTCCTATAATAATTTTTCAGCAATTTTTCAAGATCATTTAGTTGGAAAGACCAAAAATTTTCCCTTGTTCGATATCATTTTTTAAACTCTATATGTTTTATTTCAATCGAGCATTTTTTAAATTTAATTTAGTATAGTACAAATTTGTAGCTAGAGACTTTTAAAAATATTAAATGTTCATTATTGGCAACAATCTATACATGCGTCAAAATTTTAGAACTTTTTTGTTGCGAAGTATATTTTTTATTGGTACGACTTGGTACATTTGTTATCTATGAAGAGATGTGGAGAAAAATGTACTGAAATACTACTTTTCACGAGAGATGATTTTTTAGTTTATCGATGATGTTTTAGTTAAGAAAGTAGTTGGAAGTAAATGAAACCAATTTTTGATTAAAAAAATAAAATAAAAAATAAATAAAAAAATTTTGCTACTGTACTATTTTTATTACATTTATTAGGTTTCGTGGTCGGCTTGACCAAATAAATTCTTTTCAATTAATTAAGGTTTTGGTTGAGATAAAAAAGTCACTTTCAACCGTTACCCCTGGATGGTTTTAATAATAAAAATAGTTTTTCAATTACTTAATCTTTAATTAAGGTTTTGGTTGAGATAAAAAAGTCAGTGTCACAAGAGGGGTTCGAACTCACGACATTCGGCTAAATACGCCGCTGCTCTACCACTTGAGCTATCCTGAATTCGATGGGAAGTTAGGGTCCGAGTGGATCAAAGTCATGATAGCTCAAGTGGTAGAGCAGCGGCGTATTTAGCCGAAGGTCGTGGGTTCGAATCCCGCTTGTGACACTGACTTTTTTATCTCAACCAAAACTTTAATTAAAGATTAAGTAATTGAAAAATTATTTTTTTTATTAAAATCATCCAGGGGTAACGGTTAAAAGTTAAAAAGGAGTCGGCCATTTTACGACCTAGCTCACCGCAACCAATATTGGTCTATGCCATCATTGCCTTGACCTCTCGTTAAGCTTTAGGCTTTTTAAATACTCCATTGTGGATTTTTTCTATCTTAGGAATAGGAATCTCATACTCCAGTCCTTCACACCAACAAGCTTTTTTCTGAGCTCCGAGTTTACAAATAAATATACCTTCTTGAGTCTGCAGTGTCCATTCCGCAGTACAATTATTCTAGACCTAAAACTTACGAGGTTAAGTCGTTTTGCTGTTTTACTGTGATCATCCTTTAATGAACATTTTGCTTCTCTCGGACCTGGACTACCATCCCATTGAACTGAGAAATTATTCCTATACATGCATGCCTTCTCCTCAGAAGTATTAGGTCTTTAAATGTCGTTGCTAAATTTACATTCCCTAGGTTTGCCTTTATCTCAGATTATGTCTCTATTGAGCGATCTCTTCGCATTCTTCAGAGGCTGTTTCTTGCCCATAATTGCATAAAGTAGGCCATCATTGAATATTTCCACGTACTGGCGTGAGACATTAGGAGTGAAAATAAATAAAGAGGCACAGAGGAGGCCAACAAAAAAGAGAAAGAGATTCAGAGAGATTGATTGGTAAAGAGATAGATAGATAGGGGGATTCTTTATGAAAAAAAAACAGAGAGAGCGATAGAGATAGATAGATAGGGGGATTCTTTATGAAAAAAAAAACAAAGGGAGCGATAGAGATAGATAGATAAATAGAGATAGATAGATTGATGGAGAGAAAGAGAGAGAGTGAGAGAGGGTGAGAGGGAGGAAGGAAGGAGGGAGAGAGAGAGAGAGAGAGAGAGAGAGAGAGAGAGAGAGAGAGAGAGAGAGAGAGAGAGAGAGAGAGGAAGGAGAGAGAGAGAAAGAGGAAAGAGACAGAGAGGAAGGAGGGAGAGAGAGAGAGAGCTAAAGAAAAAGATATGTATACACACACACCACACACATACACAGAACATGCATAAAGATAGACATACAGAAATTATGAGAGAGATGTTCAGATAAATTGATTCTTTCTCTTTCTCTGTCGGTCAGTTTCTGTCCCTTTTTCTCAGTTTCTCTTTACATCTGTCTGAGGTTTCTTTCTATTGTATTGTATATATATTTCTGTATTTTTTCTCTTTTTTTGCTCTGTTTGTGCCTCTCTCTCACTCTCTCTCTCTCTCTTTCTCTCGCTTTATCTATCTATCTCTCTTTCTCTTCCTCCCCCTTTTTTATCTATCCATTTAGCAATATACATATTTATCTATTTCTATCTGTACCTATTTTTCTATTCGATAAATAATTTGCCCAAATATAGTTATANACGATAAAGAAAATGTTTTTCTGAAACCTACATCACACCAGACCGCATCTCACGATTTCTAAATAAATATCGATTAACGGTCACTAATCACCACACATTTCTACACGAGAAGTAATTAATGTTTAATAAATTAGGAGTAGGGTAAAAGTAGTAACCAGTGTATTTCACATTAGATTTAAGAATGGTTCTTGTGTGATTGATAAATAAAGTGTTCATCATCATCATCTCTCTCTCTCTCTCTCTCTCTCTCTCTACACTATCTATCTTTCTGTTTTAAATGCGCTTCTATTCTGAACTGTTTTCCGCCGCCAAATTAAATTTAACACAGACATACATTTTTATAGAGATGCTTTTTTTTGCTCTTTCCCCACCTCAGCTAATGGGTTTAATCTGTCATAAAAATTGAATGTCCTTTTAAGAGAGTGCGGACTGGATAAGGGAAAATAAATTAACGACAGTAGTTGTTGTTTCGATTTCCGTAATAATAATTAATTATTTTTTTCGATTTAGAGAAACCGATGAATGGGATACGATCAGCTAAATTTGCCAGAAGAATAAAAAACAGAGGTAATTTAAAGACAGTCTGTTTAATTGTTAACGTCCTGTCTTATGTCTTGTGCCGGATCGCACGGTTTTTTGGAAAATATTATCGCACAGAAAATAGTTAATCACAGTGCTAATCACAACAATGCTTATGTGTCTTGCTTGCTAGATGATGGTACCACCTTTCAAATGTTTTACACATTTGCTCATGCTAACTATGCTAACTGTATTAAA